GGTAATTTGGATTTCAAAATAACTAGTCATGTGGAAAGCCACAATGCCAATATAAGTGGAAGCTATCATTAATAATTGGCTCTGGTAGCACAGCCTGGGTAAACAACATTGTATGGGGGCAAACTAATTGGATGAGGTGTTTAAAGCTGGGGCCAGGAGACCTGGGTTCTGTGTGATAATGGACAAATTGCTTCCCCTCAGAGCCACATTTTTCTTCTCTCTATAATGTGGAGAATCTAAAACATGGGATTATTGAGGAAAAAAAAAGATTTGTAACACAATGAGGTGGTGTATAAATTCATTATTATTATTCTAGCTATTGAACTTTCCCTCTGCTGCTAGTTTTCTCTCCTAATTCTTTTTTTTAAGCCTCTACTTCTCTTCCTTGCTTTCTCTTTCTATTCCTCTCTTGGGATCTCTCCTTCCTCTTTATGTGTTGCTCTGCCTTCCTTATTGTCTTTCTAGTATCTTTGCCAAGAAAACTCCAAAATGGTGTCATGGAGAGTCAGACACAACTGAGACCACTGGACAACCACCACTCAGCCTTCAGTTTCCATCCATCATTTGTCCCGTTGCCCCACACTTTTCTCTGATGATACTCTTCACTTCTCTGTAATTCTTCAAATGCACTGTGGACCTCTCTTTTGTCCTTGGTGACTCACAGTTTGGAATTAAGGAATGTCATCTTTCACAGATCCTTCTCCGAGGATAGAGATTTCTTCTTCCTTTGAAGTTTTAATACTTTTCTTTATGTTCATTTGCAACTGAACCCTGTACTGGCCTTCCAATGATTAACATTCCTCAGCATTGTCCTTCCTGCCAACAGCCTTCCTAACATGAACTGTGTAAAAGTATTCACAATATTACAGAACACAGTAAAACACAGGATGAAAAATTTAGGGCTGGAAAGGGCCCTAGAGGCCATTGAAACCAATCTCCTCTCTCATCTCTTCAATTTCTCATCCCATCTCTTCTCACCATCTCTATCTCTTAACAAACCATGGCACAGAATACACACACACACGTGTGTATACATATATATATACATATATATATATATATATGAATGTATATATATATACATATTCGTGGAGTACTTTTTGTATTTATTTTTAATGTTAATAACAACTAGCATTTATATGTCACTTTTAAAGTTTATAAAAATGATCTCATTTGAGCTTCACAAAAATGCTGTGTGGTAGGTGCTATTATTATACCTATTTTACGGATAAGGAAACTGAGGTTACCAGAGGTTGAATGACTTGCCCAGGGTCACACTACTAGTAAATGTCTGAGTTGGGCTTTGAACTCAGTATTTTCTGGGCTAATCCACCATTTATAAGGTAATAAGCCAATGAGGTCTTTCTAGATTTCTTTGTATTCCTCATACTATAAAGAAATGAATTCATGAAATTTGAGAAATAATTCAGAATAAAAAAATAAAGCAAAACCTGAAGAAAAGGGAATGAGAATAAATGGACAGAGAATACTGATGGGAACTTGGAGGCAGGGAGGAAAAAAGGGTGTTAGTGATATTTTGTGTTGAAATTAATTTAAATGTAAATAGTTATTGAGCAAGTTTCTTTTTTCGTTGCTCCATGTTTTACATTTGGGCCACTAGGTGGCACAGTGGATAGAGCACCAGGCTTAAAATCAGGAAGACTCATCTTCATGAGTTTGAATCTGACCTCAGACACTTGTGATCAGACACTTGTCTGACCCTGCACAAATCAACCCCATTTGCCTCATTTTCCTCATCTGTAAAATGAGCTAGAAAAGGAAATGGCAAACCACTTTGCCATTTATCTTTGCTAAGAAATGAAGCTGTGAAGAGTCAGACATGACGGAACAACAACAACAAATGTTTTGTTTCTAATAAAACAGTTGATTTTTAAAAAGCAAGCAAGGTGAAAGTTTTATCTCTCTGTTATTTAAAAAAATTAAATTGCTTTTTATTGGTCCTGAATGTTAATTGATTTTTTTTCTCTCTATGAATCACTCGCCCATTAGAAAAAACAAACAAACAAAAAGAAATCTCCTCTACTTTAGGCTATAAACACTGCCTCTGTCATTCCCCTTCCGGATATTCTGTTCACAGTTTGCTCCTCTAGAATATTTGAAGACATTTATTGGGACAGTTAATTAGTAAACATGCAAACACAATGGCTGGCTGTGCACTTAACAGCCCATGATAGAAACCATGAGGTATCCCCAAAGGGCTTAGTCTTCTCAGAAACAACCCTTTATGACCTCCAAGATCCTGCCTTAGTCTTGGGAGCAATGCATACCCATTTTATCCATTCACACCAAGGAGGTTTATTGCCAGAGGGAATGTTGCCCATTGAACTGGGGTCTCTAGTTATCCCCAGGTTGTACTCTGAGGTGGACCTGCCCCCTCTCTGTTCTGTGTCTCACAACTCTTCACTTAGTCTCCTAATCCAAACTCCATTCTTCACCGCCTTGATCATACCCTGTCTGGATCCCAAACCTAGACTATCACCGGACACTGACAGTCTGGGATCCTTTATCCACTCCCTATCATTCCTTTGTCTGTGGTCCTTAAATTCAGTCTGCACTTCTGAGCTCCAGGCTACCCCCCTCTTGGATTCTGGATAATCTAAGTCAATAGACAAAGGTCATTGGTCTGTGTTTCTGGCTTAATAAGACTCTCCAATTTAGTAGGCAAAGAACTCTCATCAATTAGCTGTAATAGTGGGGCAAGGGAGATGATGCTGAGCTTGGAGTCAGGAAGAACTGAGTTTAATTCCTTCCTCAGACACTTTCTAGCTGTGTGACTCTGGGCAAGCTATCTAACCTCCCTCAACCTTAGTTTCCTCATCTGTAAAATGAAGATAATAATAATGTCTACCTCATAAAGCTATTATGAGAATCAAATGAAATCTCATACATATAGTGCTTTGCGAACCTTAAAGCACCATGTGTAAATGCTAGCTATCATTATTCAACTGTGAGACAAATGGTTTGAAATGTATTTACACAAAAACTGGATTTTGCTATTCATGACTATTTCATGTGCACAGAAAAATAAAAGCTTAAAAGGAGTTTGTTAAACTAAAAAATGCGATTATATTTTATTTTTGTGGTGTCTTGTTTTATTTTCATATATTTTTTGTTCAACAACAACAGAGCAAACCAAACAAAAATTATGCCAGAGCCTCAAAAGCTTGGTGAAGGAGGCTTCTTTAGGATATCGCCTGACAGTTTATACTTTGGCCTGATCCTTTAGATCTGGGCTTTGCTCTCAGGACTCATGGTGACCATTTGAACCTTTTCCGTTCTTAATTAAGTTTTGTAAGATTCTGAAGAGGTCTCTCCTGGTCTCGGCTTCTTAAACCACCTCTACTAACTCTCCATGGTCTTCCTGTCATATCTCTGTGTCCTGCAGAGATAGGACCAAATGAATTAAAGGAAATTAATAAGGCCTGAGGGAAAAGAACCCTTCAGGTGAAGAAGGGTGTGCCCTCAGGTTATTATTTGAGAAGCTGACACATGAAGGCCATGCCAGGTCAAGCAAGATTTGGATTTGAGAAACAAATCCAAAGGGTTAGGAAGGACTCCTTACGACATTCATGTTGTTGAGTCTTGTCAGTTGTATCTGACTCTTTGTCAACCCATTTGGGGTTTTCTTAGCAAAGATACTGGTGTGGTTTGCCATTTTCTTCCCCAGCTCATTTTACAGATGAGAAGACTGAGGCAGAGTTAAGTGACTTGCCCAGAGTCATGCAACTAGGCTGGATTTGAACACAGGCCTTCCTGACTTCAGGCATTCATAACTCTGGTCTAAAGCAGTTAAGTTGGCAAGAGGTAAGATATGCAAGGAATATGATAGGGAGAAACTCTCTACAGGGAGTAGTATTGGGCTGTGACAAAGGAACCATTTGTCTCATAAAGCATCTTCATCTGAGATAGTCTTCTTAAGGAAGGGATATATACTCCCCATCTTCTTTTATTGTTGTTGTTATTTCATTATTTAGAGTCAGCTAGTAATTGTCTGAAGGAGGATTTGGACCTAGGCCTTTTGAACTTCAAGTCCTGCACCCTGTTTACTACACTGTTTTGCCCCTCTTGAATTAGAAAACATAGCAGGTGGCAGTTTCAGCTTGATGGAGAGAAGGGCAATAAAATTCCCCCGATGTCCTGAAATTAAAAAAAAAATTCTTTTATATCATCCAATGGGAGCTTAGGTCTTGAAAGTTAGGAGCTGGCCCAGTTGGAAGCCTGTCCTACCAGAGTGGATATGACAAATCCCATCTTGGTCTGAGATGTTGCAAATCCATAGGGATAAAGGCTTGCAAACAGTTTTCATTGGGCCAGAAGTCCTGAGAGATTTTCATCATCAGCCCAGCGAAAGGATTTTGGGACTCACTGGGCTGATGAGACCAGGTGGCCTATTTCATGTACCTCCTGACTTTCACAAAGCCCAGAGCTCCTCCCGCTGGTCACTTCTTTGGGTAAATGATTTAAATAGTATTGTTTCCATTTGACAGATGAAGAAACTGAGATTCTGAAACTTGAATTGACTTGCCTAAGTTTATATTGCTAGTAAGTTATGGAGGTGGCATTCAAATCCAGGTCTTTGGACTCCAATTCTAGTCTTTCTACAAGACCACGGTGCCAAGAAGCAGTGATTAATTTAGTGAATAAATAGAGGCAAGGAGTGTGTTTTATCTAGTTTATGGAATTTATTAGGCCACTAACAGAGGACTCTATATCACAGATGTCATTAAGAAGAAAAGAAAAAGACATCATATGTTGGGAAGACATAAAACACACCAATGAGGCCATTGCTGTATGATGGAACAGTCATTTGAGAGTTTGGTCAACTGTTCAAGCAGATTCTCATCCATGGCATTTGACAAATCTCAGTTCTTTAGTTTCTGTGGTTCATTTGACATTTGACACTATTCCTGAGAATGAGGGAATTCAGTCAGTCAGTTAAGATACAGTCAGAAATAAGGATAGTAGCTTGACACAAGATACACATTTCACAAATTTATTAGTGATCCAATGTCAGTTCTCTAAGAAGAAATTTAGAGATGTTGTGTCCTCTGAACACTGGCAAGCAGCATCCTGATCCTTAGCAGGTGGGCTCACAGCAGTAGTCACAGCAGGCTGGACGGCAGCCAGACTGGCCGCAATAGGATGGGCGGCAGCAAGAAGCCTGGGCATGGTGCAGCTGGCAGCAAGATGGGGGAGTGCAGCTGACCACGCAGCAAGGTGGCAGGCAAGTACCCTCAACCCTGCAGTCTGGGCGGCACCACCTGGTGCGGCAGCTCTCTCCTCCACAGCATTCGGGAACATAACACCTGGTCCTGCAGGTAGTCTCACAGTTGGATCCAGAGCCTATCCCGAAGCCAATCCCAGAGCCGATCCCAGAGCTGATGCCGCAGCCACCCTGTTGGCAGCTGCTGGTCCCACAGCTGTCTTGGCAGCAGCTAGATCCACAGTTCCCCCCAGTAGAGCAGCTAGGGAAGCCACAGAAGCTGGTGGAGCAGGAGTTGCAGCAGGCCATGGTGTTGGGAGATAGACTTGGAGTTTAACTACAAAGAGAAGTTACTGAAGTTTTGTTCTCACCTTCCTAGCTGCACCTTTTATATATTCTATGGCTAGCGACTGTTTACATAAGACCCAAAAGCTCTTCCTTATTTTTATGTAAACCAACTTCTTTTTAACTCTCTGATTGGCCTGTCATTGAAACACTCATGGAACAACATGAGCAGTAATTTCAAAATTACTCTGCTTTTGTGGTTCCATTAGAACTCATCATATCAATTCTTTGTCTCTTAGAACACTTTTGTGGTTTTTCAAGATCAAAGAGTTCTGGCATTTTAGTCCAAGCCGACACCCTTATTTTCCATCTGAGGGGGTGTCATGTGATCATTTGCTGGGGCCTCTTAAGGCTCAATCCACGTTGTTTTCTCATTCATAACTGCCACATTTCCTTCTTGGATGAGTAAGCCAAATGTACTTGGATTCCCAAAGTTCTTTTCTTGGTTGATACTCAAGTAGACAACTTCCTATTCTAAGATCAAGTTAGCACAATATTCAAATTCAACAAACATTTATTAAAAGCCTACTGTCTTCAAGGTATTGTCCTAGGTGCTAGGAATAAAAAGAAAGAAAGCTTTCAAAGAGCTTATATTCTACTAGAGTACCAATAAAACGTCACTGTTGTATTCCTGTCAATTGGTTCTAAATATATGAAAACATATTCTTCTTAGGGACAAGGATCTTTCCTTATGGATTGAGTAAAAACCATGATTCACAATACCTGCATCTTACATATGAGTAAATGCAACTTTAAATTGCAGTATTTAACATTCTTTGTTATTTATATAGTGCCCTTGAGCACTCTCCAACTGACAGAGTAGGTCCCCCAGTGGATGGCTACTCCATGGGCCACACCTTTAAAACCACAGCTTATTAGCCCCACTGGTGAATTTATCATGAAGAGTCGGAGGATTCAACTAGTACAAAACAAAGGCATATAATGAAATGGAATTAGAAGGAAAGAAGTAACAATACATTTCACCCATGAATTTGGGCTATGTTCTCCCATAAATACATATAACATTGGTGGGAAACATGGATTCATGTGGTTTTTTTTCTTTAATCATTTCAGTAGTGTGTGACTCTTTGTAACCCCATTTGGGGTTTTTTTGGCAAAGGGAATGGAATGGTTTGCCATTTCCTTCTCCAGTTCATTTTACAGATGAGGAAACTGAGGCTAACAGGGTTAAGTGACTTGTCCAAGAACATACAACTAGTAAGTACCTGAGGCTAGATTTGAACTAAGGAAGAGGAGTCTTCTTGTTTCCAAGCTCAGTGCTCTATCCACTGCTCCACCTAGCTAGCCTTGGATTCATGTAGGGGACACTTATAGAGTGGTATCAATACAGGGAACATGGATGGCCACAGTGCACACGTTGCCTTGAATGCTACTGGGCTGCTGATACTTTCTAGCATTGTTAGCATGCTACTCACCTTTTCCCAGGGTCTTCCCTCTCTTATAGTCTCTAGAAGATGCTGCTCCATTTTCTGGACTTGTAGTCAACACTAGATACTGTTACACTGACCCAGCTTCTGCTCAACTGAAGTCTTTGGCTATCTTTTTCTTAAGGAAAACATGAGTGTTTCTATGCCCTGTCAGCTTCAAGTTCATATCCTTTCTCTCTTGTTCTTTTAGCAAAAGGCAGAAAACCCTTGCTATTGTAACAGCAACAAGGATGATGATGATGATAGTAGCTCCCTTGGTTTTATCTTTGTCAGAATGTTGGCCACTAAGACCTCTCATCTCCACAGCAGTGGATTTTTAGGGCCATATGCCAAGGTCTTAAGAACAAAGGCCTGGTTGTCTCAGTAGGTAACGTCTATAGGCTTAGTCCTTTCTTTAGACTCCTCTTTCCAACTCAAAATTTTGAGGCTCTGTTTCTCTCTTTTTCTCTGTCTGTGCCTCTGCCTCTGTCTATATTTTTGTGTGTCTATCTTTCCATATATGTCTCTCAGAGATCTCACCTTCCACCTACGGTAATCATTCCATATACTTCTAAAATTTTAACCTTTGATGGCTAGATTATAAGCCAGGTAATGGTTATGTGTTTAATCACCATCCAACAACTCTGAGATTTGCACTCCCTAGTTTTCAGACCCTAAGTCTCTTCTATTCTTCCATGTAAATCGAGTGAATGAAGAAAATAAGTTAAGCTCAGGGGACAAGGTCATAGTCTTTTCTATCATCTAAAATCCCTGGACTTTGCATACATAGATACAGCGGGTCCAAAGTTTTGGAGTTCTCCTTTATGAGCAGTGTTGGATAATGGAGAAGTTTTAGATTCTTTTCTTCTGGATCATATCAGCATTTTTTCAACTACTGAGCTAAGACTAAATAAATAATAATAGTAATTATAGTTAGTACTTAAACATTGTTAGTACTTAAGTTAGTACTTCAGCATTGTTAGTACTTAAGTTAGTACTTAAGCATAACAAAACCCTGCACATACTTTGTTTCTTTTGATTTCTACAACTCCCCTGGAATGCAGAGGTTACAACTTTTTGGACCCAAGTCTCTCCTGTCTGCAGGCCCAACACTCTTTCCATTTAAATTAGAGTGCATGCCATCTACTTTGCTTATCTACCAAATCCATAACAGTATACATGAATCAATAGAGCCAGCAACTAGTTATTGGTGTTAGACTTTTGAAAATTACTCAGAAAATGACATTTTGTTATAGCATCATTTTATGATGATCAGCACAATGGCAAGCCCCTCATAGGCATTCAATAGTATTTGTTGATTGATATGTAGAAAGTGAATATAATATACATTATCCCTTGCCCATTTAGACCTTAAGAACAAACAGTATCAAAAATATGGCCATATAAAAATATAGCCAGAGGAGGGTCTGCAGCTGATTTCAAACTGGGCATCTCATAAACATCCCAAACTCAATATATCCAAAACAGAATTCATCATCTTTCCCACCCTCAAACCCTCCTACATTCTGAACTTCCTCATTACCACCATCCTTCCAATCAATCAGATCCACAACCTGAGTTACCATACTTGACTCTTCATTCTTAGTCATCCAATATACATAATCAATTGCCAAACCTAATCGTTTCTATCTCTACAACATCTCTCATGGATGCCCCCTTCTCGTGTAGCCATTACCCTCATTATACCATCAGTACCTCTATCTTGGACAGACACCATGGATGGGGGGCAGCTAGGTGGCGCAGTGGGTAGAGCACTAGCCCTGGATTCAGGAGGACCTGAGTTCAAATCCAGCCTCAGACACATAACACTTACTAGCTGTGTGACCCTGGGCAAGTCATTTAACGCCATTGCCTAGCCAAAAAAAACCAAACAAACCAGACACCATGGATGGACAATGAGCTGAATGAGTCCAGAACTGAATAGAGGAATATCCTATGCATCACCTCTCACATGAACCATTACAATTCTCTTGTACTTGGTTTCTCTGCCTCAATTCTCACTCCATTCCAAATTCATCCTCAATAATGTTGCCTCCTTATTCTTGGAAATTGTACCTCTTTTAATGTTGACTAAGATTGCATTAGCTTTCTTGGCTGCCCCATCAATACCATGGATACACTGAGCTTGCAATCCACTAAAACCCCCAATTCTCTTTTTCAGTTGAACTGCTGTCTAGCACTTCTTCCTCCATCTTATCCTGATGAAGTTGATTTTTTGGACCCAAATATGATTTTTCATTTATCTTGGGTGGTGATGTGGTTATTTGAAAAGAATGTATGATTTGAAGTCAGAGGAACTAGGTTTGAATCCCATCTCTATTCTTCACTGCCGTAATGACTGTGGGCATATCATTCACCATCTCTAGACCTCAGTAGAATGATGTAATCAGACCAAATGATATCTAAGGTCTCATCCATCTCTAAACATATAGTTCTATGACCTCTAGTTAATTCTTTCTTATCAGATTCAGCCTAATGTTCTATCTAGCACCCATTGTATGCTAGACCTATAATAAGTGCTTAATCAATCAATCAACCAATAAACATTTGTGAAGTGCTTGCTATGTTCCAGGAACTGTACTAAGTACTGGGGATACAAAAGGAAGCAAAAGACAGTCTTTGTCCTCAAGGAGCTTACAATCTAATGAGGGGAGACAACATGCAAACAAATAGATGCAAGCAAGCTAGATATCTAGGATAAATAGGAAATAACAGAGGGGAGGCATTGGAATTAAGGAGGGATTGGAAAGGCTTTGTGTAGAAGGTGGGATTTTAGTTGGGACTTAAAGGGAGATCAGCAGAGTTGGAGCAAAGGAGGGAGAGAGGTCTAGTCATTGGAGTCAACCAGAGAAAATGCCCAGAGCCGAGAGATGGAGCATCTTGTTAGTGGAACAGCAAGGAAACCAGTGTCACTGGATCACAGAGTACGTATCAGGGAGTAAGGTGTGAGAAGACTGGAGAAGCAGGAGGGAAGTTTTTGTATTTGATCCTGGAGGCAATTGGAAGCCACCGGAATTTATTTAATAGAAAGGTGATATAGCTGGGCCTGTGTTTTAGGAAAATTGCTTTAGTGATAGAATGGAGGGTGGATTGGAGTGGGGAGATGCTTAAGAAAAGCAGATCTTCTGACCCAACAGGCTATTGAAATAATCAAGGCTTGAGGTGATGAGGGCCTGCACTAGAGTGGTAACAGCATCACAACAACCCTGAAAGGTAGGGGCTATTATAGTCTCCATTTTACAATTGAAGAAACTGAGGCAAAGAAGGATTAAATGATTTGCCTATATAGTCACACAACTAATAAGTATCTGAGGCAGGATTTGAATCAAGTCTCCCTGAGTCCAGGCCTGGCACTCTATCTACTGTTCCATCTAACTGCCTAGAGATCATCAGGTCTAACACTTTCATTTTACAGGTGAGGAACCTGAAGCACAGATAGGTTAAGTGACTTGCTCAGGGTCACACAGCTAGTTGTCTAAGGTAGTATTCAAACTGTGGTCTTCCTGGCTCCAAGTCCAGCTCTCTATCCACTATAGCAGGGCTGGGGAACCTGCAGCCTCAAGGCCACATGTGATCCTCTAGGTCCTCAAGTACAGTCCTTTGACTGAATCCAAACTTCACAGAATAAATCCCCTTAATAAAAGGATTTGTTCTATAAAACTTGGACTCAGTCACAAGGCTGTACCCAAGGACCTAGAGGGCCTCATGTGACCTCAAGGCTACAGGTTCACCACCCCTGCACTATAGTACCCAGCAGCACGAGCTCCAAATGTAATTACATTTAAAAATAAAATAAAGACCATGGTCAAATTTCCTTTGCAGGCTAATAGACTTTATTTGAAATTAACAGAGGATATCCAAGCATAAATAAAATAGGAGAAAAATTAAGAGAATAGAAAAAATGTTCAAATAAAGAGCACCTGGACAATGTTTTGTGCCAAGTATAAGTGTTTTCTGAAGATCAAGATGCTGCAGAAAAATCCATCTTCAGTTTGTGGACTGTCTCAGCCTATGGAAGTCCTAGAAGAATGCATTTGAATTTTTTTAAAATGCATTTTCAAAACAGTAAAGACCAAGCCTTCTTCGTAATCTTTGTGACTCTACTACATCATGTATTTAACTCATATCAATTTCTTGCAAATATCAATTTCTTCGTAAACCACAGATCCTGGTCCTTAGCAGGTGGGCTCACAACAGTAGCCGCAGCAGGCTGGACGGCAGCCAGACTGGCCACAGTAGGATGGGCGGCAGCAAGAAGCCTGGGCATGGTGGAGCTGGCAGCAGGATGGGGGGATGCAGCTGACTACACAGCAAGGTGGCAGGCAAGTACCCTCAACCCTGCAGTCTGGGCGGCACCACCTGGTGCGGCAGCTCTCTCCTCCACAGCACTCAGGAACATAACACCTGGTCCTGCAGGTGGTCTCACAGTTGGAGCCAGAGCCTATTCCAGAGCCAGAGCCATAGCCGAGCCCATAGCCAAGCCCATAGCCTCCCTGTTGGCAGCAGCTGGACCCACAGCTGTCTTGGCAGCAGCTAGATCCACAGTTCCCCTCAACAGAGAAGCTGGGGAAGCCACAGAAGCTGGTAGAGCAGGAGTTGCAGCAGGCCATGGTGTCTGGAGCTGTTTCTTGTCTTCTAGTAAAAGAGAAGTTTCTGAAATGTGACTGTCCTTTGTCCCACCAGCCCTTTATATACCTCCACCAGCTATATTTACCAAATATTTAGCATTTTTTCCTTGTTGCTAGCTGCATGGTGAATCTCTGATTGGCTAATACCAAGGTATTATGAAAATTATAAACAGCATTTAAAAAAAATCACCTTGGTTTAATTAAGTCTAATTAAATCTGTTCTTTGCCCTGTGGAATAAGTTTGAGGTTTTCCATCCATTGAGTCCTGTCATTAAAAGGCCAATCTCAACCTGCTTTTTGTACAGGTGAAGATATCCCATGATGGGATGACTGGATCACAATTTTTGAGCTGGAATGATTGTCTTTTCTTTTTTTTCCCTGGAGGTGACTCTGTTATTTCATTGGTGTAATTGACTCAGAGTTTGGGAATCCCTTTGTGGACCCAGATTGGCAACTTGTCTGTAACTAACATTTTTTTTATTCTTATAAAGTATTTTCATATTGGTCATTTTGTACTAGAAGACTCAAATAAAAGGGAAAGAACAAAAGAAAGAAAGAAATAGCATGCTTCAGTCTATCCAAATGATATTAGTTCTTTCTCTTGAGGCAGATTACTATGCTTCACCATGAGTCCTTTGGGATTGTCTTGGATCGTTGTATTGCCAAGAACAGCTAAATCATTCACAGTTCTCCACTGAACAATATGGATGTTACTGTTGTACACTGTTCTCCTGATTCTGTTCACTTCACTTCACATCAGTGCATGTAAGTCTTTCTAGGTTTTTCTGAGAGCATCCTGCTCATCATTTCTTAAAGCACAGTAGTACTCCATCACAATCATGTACAACAGCTTGTTCAGCCATTCCCCAATTGTTGAACACTTCTTTAATTTCCAATCCTTTGCCACCACGAAAAGAGCTACTATAAATATTTTTGTACAAATAGGTCCTTTCCCCCTTTTTTACGTCTTTGGGATTCAGACCTAGCAGTGGTATTGCTGGGTCAAAGAATATGCACCGTTTTATAGCCCTTCGGGCATAGCATACCTTAAATTTTTTCGAGTTGCCTGGGGCCACTCAGAGTTAAGTGACTTACCAATGGTCACACAGCTAGTGTGTATCAGGGAGGAGCTGCAACTCGTGGGGTCACTGTGAGTCAATCAACTAATATTTATTAAGTACTTACTGTATTATGAGCTTGGACAAACTTCAGCAGATAGTGGAGGACAGAAGAGCCTGGCATACTATAGTCCATGAGGTCATGAAGAATGAGGTCATGAAGAGTCAGACACGAATGCAAGACTAAACAACAAATTACTATATTTCAGGCACTGTGCTAAGTGCTGGGGATACAAAGCAAGGACCAAATAGTCCCTGTTGTCAGGGAGCTGACAGTCTAAGGAAGGAGTCAATATGCAAACAACTATATACAAACAAGATATAGATAGGATAAATTGGGAACAGCCTCTGAGGGAAGGCACTATGGTTAAGGAGGACTGGGAAAAAACTTCTTGCTCAAGGTGAGGCTTTAGCTGAGATTTAAAGGAAGCCAGGAAAACTAGGAGGTAGAGATGAAGAGGGAGAGAGTTCCCGCCATGGGGAACAGTTAGTGGAAATATTCCGATTTGGGAGATGGAGTGCCACATGGTGGAAACAGGTTGGAGCTTTGTCCCAGGTTGTTGCTAACCAGGGGTAGTCACTTCCTTCTCACAGTGATTCAGGAACCTTTTCCAGACTGTTCTATGTAATGCATTCCTGTTACCTTACCTAGTCCCATCCCCCAAGGTCCTGTGACCATAATATTTTCCCTCTGTCCAGGAAGTCCATATCCTTGTGGGAGCTTACCTCCCTCACAGTTTTCTGTGCCTCTGATGACCCTGTATAACCTAGCCAACCATACCACAACCCAATTTCTAAGCAGAATCTAAACTCAAAGGGAGCTTTTCTATGCACTCTGCTTGTCCTTTTTTTGTCATGTCTGTCTTATGAGCTTTACAAAACATTTATATGAACATTTCCTACATTTTTTGTCCTACCCAGAAGAACTGTCTTAAGGACTATACCAGCAGCCGAGAAAATCTAATATTTTTAAATTTAATTTTGTTACATTTTAAGTACTGAACTCCCTCCCTTGCCACTCTGCACTAGAGAAAACCAACATTTCATACACACACACACACATGTGTATATGTATACATATGTATGTATATGTGTAAATTTGTATATATGTATTTATTTATATTATGTAAAACCATATTATAAACAATTCTATTTATTAGTTGTTATTTTTTCCTAGAGGTGAATAACATCTTCCTTCATAAGGTGTTTGTAGTTGATTTGAGTATTTATAATAATAGCTTAGTCATTTACAGTTATTCTTCAAACAATATTGCTGTTATCGTATATGATGTTCTCTTGGTTCTGCTCATATAACTCTTTATTATTTGATGCATGTCCCTCATGCCCGGAATGTACTCCCTCCTCATGTCTGCCTCATAGAATTCTTAGCTTCTCTCAAAGCTCAAGGGCTACCTCCTACAGGATACTTAGCCTGATATTTATTTCTGGTACTAATGCTCCCTACACCACCCCTCTCAAATTGCTTTATATTTACTTTGCATTTATTTTGTATTTAAATTTTTGTGTTCATATTGTTTTCCACCAATGGAATGTAAGCTCTTTGAAAGCAGGGGACTACTGCCTAGCACAATGCCTACTCAATGAACGTTGAATGTGTTATATTGCTTACATACCTTTTGAAAACTATGGAGGAGTAGTCACCAGAGGGACTAACTGCATTGTCTTTTTCTTGCAACTCTTGAGTTTGGAGAATGCCTATATATTGATGGCCTGGGTCTAAGAGAGCCTACTAATAGGCAGACACACAATAGATGATCTATTATATATTGTTTATTCTTTGCATAAAAACCAGGTAAAATTCTCTTAAATTTCTATGTTTACCCATAAAAGACTGAATCCATTATACTAAGGTAACAAACATGACTAGGGATCAGTGAAATAGTTTACTCAAGAAGGAAGTGGTGTTTTCTAGGAGGTGGGGATGCAGAACTGTTTTTATTGAGAAAATCTACATTTAGTCTACCCATTAGACAAATAAGATGGTACAGCCAGCCTAGGAAAGGCAAAGCTTAGAAAAGATAGCTGCTCATGCTCTAGAAGCCCTGGAGAAGGAGTCAGTGTGCTACAAGGGACTGACTTTGGAGTCAGAAGAATTATGTTGAAATCCTACCTTTCATGCTTAGTACCTGGTGATCTTAGGTCAAAGCAAGCTACAAGCAAAGCCTCAAAGGAAAAAAAAAATGAATTGGACACAAGACCAACAAGAATTCCTGGAAGAGTTCAAAAAGGATTTTAAAAAATCAGAGAGCTAGAGGGAAAATTAGGAAATCAAATGAGAGTGATGCAAGAAAATTATGAAAATAGAGTCAACAGTTGGATCAAACAGGCACAAAGAATGCTGAAGAAAATAAGACCTTAAAAAACAGAATTAGCTAAATTTGTCAAAACGGAAGAGGCACAAAAATCCACTGAAAAGAAGAACTCCTTACAAAGGAGAATTAGCCAAATGGAAAAATAGGTACAAAAATTCACTGAAGTAAATGAATACTTAAAAATTAGAATTGGGCAAGTGGAAGCTAATGACTCCATGAGACATCAAGAAACAATCAAATAAAGCAGAAAGACTGAAAAAAAATAGAAGAAAATGTGAAATATCTCGTTGGAAAAACAATTGACCTGGAAAATAGATCCAGGAGAGATAATTTAAAAATTATTTGACTTCCTGAAAGCCATGATCAAAAAAAGGTCCTCATCATCATCTTTTAAGAAATTGTCAAAGAAAACTGCCCTGATATCCCAAAACAAGAGGGTAAAGTAGAAATAATTCACTAATTACTTCTTGAAAGAGATCCTTAAATGAAACTCCTAGGAATATTATAATCAAATTCTAGAGCTCCCAGGTCAAGTTAAAAATACTTCAAGCAGCCAGAAAGAAACCATTCAAATGTTATGGAACCACAGTCAGGATCACACAAGATTTAGTGGTTTCCTCATTAAAGGAGCAGGGTGCTTGAAATATGATATTTTGGAAGGCAAAGGATTTAGGATTACAAACAAGAATAATCTACCCAGCAAAACTGATTATAATCTTTCAGGGGAAAAATTGGATATTTAATTAAATACAGGACTTTCAGGCATTCCTGATGAAAAGATCAGAGCTGAACAGAAAATTTGACTTTCAAATATAAGACTCAAGAGGGGTGTAAAAGATAAACATGAAAGAGAAACCATAAGAGAATGCATAAGGTTAAATTATTTACGTTCCTATCTGGGAAGATGATACATGTAATTTCCAAAAAAATTTTCATTATTAAGGTATTTTGAAGAATACATAGACAAGGGAATGGACATGAGTTGACTATTATGGGATGATTTTTTTAAATTAAGGTGTGAGAAAGAGGGATGTACTGGGAGAAGGGCGAAGGAAGAGGAAGCGTGGTGGGGGGGAATTATTTCACATGAAAGAGTGTGGAAGGAAGAGCCTTTACAATGGAAGAGCCTTTAAAATGGGTGTTAGTGATGGTTGGCAATGCTTGAACTTTACTCTCAATGGAATTGGCTCAAAGAAGGAATAACACACATTCAATTGAGTATAAAAACTGATCTCACCTAACAGGGTATAAGAGAAGGGGGTGTTGGGGTAGCTAGGTGGCACAGTGGATAGAGCTCTGGCCTTGGAGTCAGGAGGACCTGAGTTCAAATCTTACCTCAGACACTTGACATTTACTAGCTGTGTGACCCTGGGCAAGTCACTTAACCCTGACTGCCTTACCAAAAAACAAACAAACAAAAAAGACAGAGAGAAGGGGGTGCTGAGAGAAGGGAGAATGGATTAAGGGAGGCAGTGGTCAGAAGCAAAACAGATTTTTGAGGAGGGTAAAGGGAAAGGGGAGAGAGAGAGAGAGAGAGAGAGAGAGAGAGAG